CTAGTGGCTGTCAATGAGACAGCCACTAGAGGATTAGGGGGAAGGCTTAACCCATTCATAATTATAGCAGTTTCTCTGAAACTGCTATAATTATGAAAAATGGGTTAACCCTAGAAGGACCTGGCACCCAGACCACTTCATTAAGCTGAAGTGGTCTGGGTGCCTAGAGTGGTCCTTTAACTTATTAGGTGTGCTCACGACTGTGCCAATTGTGCCCAGGCATACCTTAATATGCCCATCAAGGCAGAGATCAAAGGACCGACTCCATTCAAACACCAGCCCAGAGAGTGCTCATGAACATGATCATGTGAAGGTATTTACTGCTAGAAGGGGCAAGAAAAGTTCAAAGATAGGGGATCGGTAAAGCAAACATTTGTTGTATACAATTGAAAATTTTGCCACCCAAATCCTAACACCAAGATATTAACACTGGGACTATCAATGGAAGTTACTTACCACCTATACACTTATAGAAAGCATTTCGGTGTGCAGGGGGGTGATGACGTAACACGTGATTGCGCACGCTCCCGCGACTGAGAGACTCCGGTGTGAGGAGGGGAGGAGAGGCGGCGTTCAGCGGCGTTCAGCGCTTAAGAGCAGCGCGATGTTGAGATCCAATGCTACAGCTGCCTGATTATTTCTCTGCAGAAGCGGTATGCGGTAGGCTGTCTGCTGTTTGCCGAACACCGAGCACTGGCCGAATTGCTTAAGATTTAAGAACTGCTTAAGATTCAAGGTATAGGGGAGTTTTCTAAAATTATAAACTTGTGCTGCAAAGGAAAAACAGAGGGAAATAAAAGGATTTTTTTTTTTTTTTTTTTTTTAAAGCTATGAAGATTTTTGGTTAATGTTTGGACTATCTTTAAATACCGCAATGGAGTTCCGATTGCGAGGGGTTATTAATTGAGAAGGATTGCTGAAACCGGAATGAAAATTTAGCATAAGGCAACTGTCTGCAATTAAACAGCAATGGTGGTGGAAATTTGTACTTTATTTTGAACTTTATTTTGAACTTAGCACTATGTTGCCGCGAGAGAGCTTCAATTGTATCTATTTCCATTGGTGTGTCAGATTGATACAATTTCTTGAGAGAGATAGCAACAGTTTCAATAGTGAGACAGATTGATAGATTTAAACTGCTTTTTGCTCTCTTTTGGGAAGGCAGAAATTTATACCTAAACAAGGCTCCATTTACCTGTGGGGGCTTGAAATTGAGATAGCAATCAAACACTCTTTGGGTGCTGCCTAAAGGAGATTTAATGTCTGAGACGACTATCAGCTGTGGGGATTGAAGATTGCTGAAACTTGGAGTTAAATCACAGCAGGAGATAGAGCTAGTGGGAGATATCCATAATCAAAAGCTCCATTTGTTGGAGGGGTCTGTCTGCACGATCGTGATTAAACAGTTTTTTAATCAATATTACTCTCTTATCAGACAGAGGTGCTCCTTTAAAGGAGAATAGAAGGGTAAGGAAAGCATGTCTCCCAAAAGAGATAAGGATAAAGATAAAGCAACAACGGCTAATATGGACAAAAATAAAAATATAAATTCCTTCTATTCACCTAAATCTCAAGAGCGATCATCAATTAAAAGATCATCTCTGGGAGATCGCAGAGAATCAGCCTCACTAATTCCAGAATCCTTTCCGGCAACTCCCCAATATACCATCCAACAAACTCTTAATGAAGCTTTGGAAACTCTCTATTTGAAATTAAAACAAGATCTGGAAGATAATTCCAATATACTAAGGCTGGAAATAGCTAATATATCCTCTATACTGCAAAATCAGGCAGACACTCTCCAGAAAATCCAAACATCTACTGAAGATTTAACTTTAAAATACAACCAATTGGATGAGAAGATCAAAGCATTAGAGATAAAGGTTACCGACTTGGAAGACAGATCTCGAAGGAACAATATAAAATTGAGAGGAGTTCCTGAAGCTATTAAGTACGATCAATTAGATCAATTTTTAAAATCCTTCTTTCAAGTTTTAATGCCTGAGTTGTCACTTGGAGAATTCCCATTTGAACAACATCACAGGCTATATAGACCAAAGAACTTGTCGCCAGACATACCTAGGGATATTATTGTTTGTTTCTCTAACAACTACATTAAAAATTCAATTATGCAGTCGGCACAAAAAAATGCTATAACAGACCCTCAATTTAAAGATATTAAGTTATATCCAGATCTATCTTTGATGACCAGGTTGGCAAGGAAAAAATACGTCGTCCAGACTAGCATTCTGAGGAAGCATGGAATTAGATACAGATGGAATTTCCCTACAGCATTATTGGTATTCTTTCAAAATCAACAATTTCTCTTTGAAGAAGTCTCGGCGGCCCAAGAAAAAAATCCAATCTTGGAACCTACAGTAGTTATCCTCTTGAGTCGACCAATTAACGACCATCTACTTGGAACAAGATACTGACTACTTATTGTGCCTACTAAACTATTGACCACCTATTGGAATAAGAAAATGATTAACTACTATCACTTTAATTTTTTTTTTTTTAATGAATTACTTGCGAAGACTAGATTAGTGAATGCCCAAGTCTAATGGGCAGAGTTATGTCTAAAGTTAAGAATGTTCATCTATGGATAAGGGTACATGGTAATGTTTGCAATTTAAGGGGAGGGAGAAGGGAAAGGAAAGGGAGGAAGAAAATTATATTGTTTTCAAATGAGGGGCAGGTCACAAGCTATGATTTAAGGCAATGTTAACCTGATATAACGTTGGAGCTATATAATTATGTCATAGTAGACAGTTACTGCACACTATCTTTGGTTAAGTTGCCTCTCTTCCACTACTCTCCTCTGTTTTGATACAATTATTTATATAGGTGATTGGAAATTTTCACGTTTTAGCTATGATGAGCAATTGATGATGGCAGAATTGGATAAATTTCACATATATGGTATAAATACTGTTTGGAATATTATTAACCCACTTTTTCAATTATGGAGTTTGATCGTAAGGAATCTAGAGATTTTACACTTGTATCTTAGTATCTTAGTATCTTAGTAGTAATATAAACTTTGGCCACAATAATCACGACTGGAATATTATTAACCCACTTCTTCAATTATGGAGCTTGATAGTAAGGAACTTAGAGATTTCACACTTGTATTTTAGTATCTTAGTAGTAATATAAGCTCTGGGCACAATAATCACGATTTGATACTATCCAGCACTAATAAGAATGGAAGTGGGTTATTTACACAAGAATGGCAGTACAATTTTATAGTAAGGGTCTATTCACATATGATATAATTGTGGATACTTATGGGCCTTAAAGGGGTAAATCAGATGAAATAGTTGGTATTAGCAAGATGATATATAAGAGGTAATGTTGATTTTGATCACAATAGAGAGAGGGAGTTGGACTATGTATATATATATCTAAGCAATATGTAGATAGAATGGTTAAAGGAGGGGAAAGGAGAGGGAAGACCTGAACTATTCTACTTAAGAGTTGGAGGGTTATGTTGAATAGAATCAGAATAGCAACTTATTGCAATATGGGTTTTTAAAATAACGCGATTCTAAATCTTAGACAAGTTGATCCACTTATTGAAGGTTTCAGTACTGGCCTGGTCCTTGATGAGGTCTTGAACATTTTTTTTTTTTTTCTCTTCTTCCCTCCTTACTAGTGTTTATATTTCTGTAATTATCAATAGGTTAATTTAGGTGGATATAAGCTTATAGGTCTCCCTATTCTTCTTCTTCCCGGGATATGTTCCATATTCCATACTACTTTTTGGAATTATAATGATTGAGGGAGGGGTCAGGAGAGGGAGATTAGTATCAATATAATGGATAGCAACATAAATCATCAAGCAATGTCAGATTGGTAAATTATTGGGTTCTGGCCCTAGGAGCAAGTGTGGTCAAATGTTTCAGGTAAAATTGATAGCATTTTGGAGTGCCAGTGGACCAACCATGGGTCAGATATTTGGAATGCCGTTTGGTTTTTGAAGAGTTGTGAGTCCTTCCTCCTCTCGCTGGGGTCTACTTTCCTGCAATTATAGGCAGGTCTTGTTCAGGGGGCTCCATATATATGTGTGTGTACGTATATATATACACATGTGTGTGTTTCCCCACTGGATTTCCAAGAGGTGGTCTGTTTCCCCTCTTGAATTATTTTTCATGTTTTATGTATCTTATAATGTAAATATGTTTTTTTTTCTATGTTTTTATTTTTTATTTCTTTCCTTTCTGAGACTCGATTTGGGGTGTAATCATGACAATAGGTGTTTTGATGGCACTTAATTTGATATCATGGAATGTCCAGGGTTTGAACTCACCACAGAAAAGGGGAGCGGTCTATAAAATTCTAAATGATAACGATATTGATATCGCTTTTATTCAGGAGACACATTGGATTAATCCCCCAGAGAGACTCTGGAAGTTTAAGAAATTCCCTTTGTTATTTTCCTCCAATATGGAGGGGAATAAAAAAAAAAAAGAGGCACTGTTATCATAATCTCTAGCAGAATCAATTTTGAAATGATACACCTAATTGGGGATCCAATGGGAAGATATGTGATACTCGTCGCAAAAATTAATGGTACTATATATACTTTGGTTAATGTTTATGCACCAAATTCGTGTCCAGGGGATTTTTTTGATAAAATTATGGAAAGGGTTGATGAATTAGCATGTGGCAACATCATAATTGGGGGAGACTTCAATTGTGTATTAGATCCAGCACGGGATAAAAGCCATAAAAATGCTAGAGAATATAAATTTGTAAATACCTATGCCTCTGATTTTTCTAAATTTCTAGACAGGAACTCTCTATTTGATTGTTGCAGGACTTTGAATCCTAGTGAGAGAGACTACACTTTTTTTTCACATGTCCACCAGACCTATTCTCGAATAGACATGTTTTTGGTGAAAGCGGGGTTCTTGAGTTTTATCATTAAATCCAATATCGGATCCATAGTTGTATCAGATCATGCACCAGTATTCATTAAGGTTAAGTTAAAAGGTGGTCTTAGACCAAGGACAAGGTGGAGACTTAATGAAAGCCTCTTGAAATCAGAGTGCAATATTGACTTTTTGTCATCTGAAATCGAAAACTTCTTGATTACCAATGATAATGGGGAAGTCTCCACGGTAACAGTATGGTGTACCCTTAAAAGCTTTGCAAGGGGACTCTTGATTAAACTTGGCTCAGAATCTAAAAGGAAGAAGGGAGAATCTTTGCAAGAGTTAAGAATAAAATTGGCAAATAAGGAACGTCTAAATAAAAATATGGTGAATAAAGACTTAACTGAAGAAATAGCTAAATTGAGGTATCATAATAATGAGATGGTATCATAATAATAATAAAATAAATAAAGACCTTTCTAATAAAATTAAGAATAATCTCAAAGATAAATTCATAAAAAAAATTGTCTTAGGTGATAAACATCTAGTGTCGCCAAATGAAATTGTAAATGCATTTGCGGAATTTTATAAATCTTTATACAATCTAAAGGAGGTAGGGAGGAGTAGAGAAGAAATGGATACATTTTTGAGTAACCTTAAATTACCAAAAATTAATCAAAGTAAGTTGGAAATGTTGAATGCCCCATTCTTACTATCAGAAGTAACAGAAGTAATAGATAAGTTAAAATCGAATAAGGCCCCAGACCCAGATGGTTTTTCAACAATGTTCTATAAAACTTTTTCTAGACTCATTTCTCCTATCCTATTAGAGATGTTTACGAAGGCGTCTGCGGACAATCCTTTCCCCAATGAGATGCTATTGGCCTCAATCATTCCTATACCCAAAGTAGGGAAAGACCCAACACTTATTACTAACTACAGACCTATATCTCTCATTAATTTAGATATAAAGATATTCTCCCAAATACTATCTAACAGATTTAAAGAGGTAATAGGAGATCTGATTGATGTTGATCAGTCTGGATTTGTGCGAGGGAGAGGTACTACAGATAATACACGTAGGACATTTAACTTAATACATAGAATAAAGGAGCAGAAATGGGGGTCTGTTATTATGGGCCTTGATGCTGAGAAGGCCTTTGACAGAGTCAATTGGAGA